AGTCCTCAAAACTTCTCAGCAACATCTCCCACTTTCCCTCTACTTTTACCCTTTGTTACATTCCTCCTAGAGAACTAAATGACAAAGTGGATAGAGCACTGGGCATGGAGGCCGAAAGACCTGAGTTCAAATCTCGCCTCAGACACTTACTAGCTGTGTGACCTTGGGCAAGTAAGTCACTTAACCTGTGTTTGCCGCAGTTTCCTCAACTGTCAAATGGGGATAATAATAGCACCTACCTCCTAGGGTCATTGTGAGGATCAAATGAGATAATATTTGTAAAAAGTGCCTGGCACATAGCAAGTGCTATATAAACACTTATTCCCTTCATCTCGCTCCTCTCTTAAACTTTTTTTTTTTTTTTGGTGAGGGTAATTGGGGTTAAGTGACTTGCCCAGAGTCACACAGCTAGTGAGTGTTAGGTGTCTGAGGCCAGATTTGAACTCAGGTCCTCCTGACTCCAAGGCCAGAGCTCTATCCTCTGTGCCACCTAGCTGCCCCTAGGATAAACATTTTGAAAAAGTTGACCCAGCCTCCATCCCCACTCTGTCATTGACCTTCACTCTGGCCTTCACTCCTACTGCTCTTCCTGAAATTGCTCTTTCAAAGGTCCCAGTCCACCTTTTATTCATCACATGTCCTAATTCTGGTCCTCATCTTCCTTGATCTTTCTACAACATTTGATGCCGTGAAGCACCCCTCTTTTTGAAACATCTTGATTTTTGAGACATCACGCTCTGCTGGCCTTCCTTCTCCAAAGACTGTGTCTCTCTCATCGCCAAAGATTCCTTGCAATCTCTTTGAGCCCCTAAGGCGAATGTTATCCAAAGTTCAGTCTTTCTCCCTCTTCTCCCTTTCCATCCTTTCCAGTCCTGTGTAACCTTGGTCAAGTCAGTTGCCCTCTCAAGTTTCTCACCTGTGGAGTTAGGTGGTTGGAATAGATGTTCCCTAAGGCCCCTTCCAGCTCTGTGGCAGCTTCTGTGACTTTCTGAACCTTCCCTTCTCTTTCTGCACTCTGCTTTGACAATTTCATGCTCTTCTACAGCTTGAACCATATCTCTTTTTATATTCCTGAACTCTGAAACCACCTTGCAACACCTGTCTATCTTGTCACCTCAAATTCAACATGTCCCAGACGAACCTTTCCCCCTGTGGTCCTTCCTGTCTCCCAAACTTGGTAGCGTCTTTGAGTCTTCTCTCATACTCATCTCTCATATTAAGTCACTTGTCAAAGAATTCCACAAGATTTCTCTTACTGGTCCTTTCTTCTCCATTCCCCCACTACTGCTCTAGAAGAGGCCCTTATTACTACCCAATAGTGCAATTCAGTATGTGTTTATTGAGACCTTGCTTTATGAAAGATGGTGTACTAGGTGTTAGAGACAAAAAGACTGAGATGGAGAAAATAGTCCTGTCCTCAAGGGGCTTATTTTCTACTGGGCCATTCCCACCTGGACTATTATAATAGCTTCTTAACTGATCATGTCAATTCTCTTTTCAACTCTGAACCATCCTTCCTACTTCTGTCAGACTTATACTCTTTTCCCCCTGCTTTTTTTCCTTTTTTTTTGTTCTAAACAACCAAATAAGATGAGCATTTCCATATATAGTAGAATAGGAGAGGATTGTATATTAATTATTATTATTATTAATTTTTTTTGGTGGAGCAATAGGGGTTAAGTGACTTGCCCAGGGTCACACAGCTAGTAAAGTAAGAGGATAGTATGTGAAACAATGAACTTTTATTATGTACAGTTTGCTTTTTCGGTTTAAGTATATAATAAAGTTAACATGTAACTTTGTGATTGCTTCTGGCCTTCCTTTTGTTCACATTTCTCATTTTGTTTGGGGTTTTGTTCTTGTTGTTACTTTTTAACCCCTGTCTCCTTCCCTTTGTAGCCCACCCCATCAATGAAAAAATAGGAAAATAAAATCCGTGTTAACAAATACACGTTATCAAGCAAAATAACTCTCCAAGTTGGTCGTGCCCAAAAATGTCTGTCTCATTGTACATCTTGAGTCTTTCACCTCCCTTTCAGGATGAGGGTAGCATGCGTCATCATAAATACCCTGAAGCTGTGGTTGGTCATTTCATTGATCAGAGTTCTTACATTGCACTCCTTATTCACATAACTAATCTTCTTATCCCTATGCTCAAAACCCTGCCTATTGTCTGCTGAGTAAACTCCTTGTCTGGAATTCAAATCCTTCTGCAGTCACTGAAATCTTCCTCATTCAACTTCTCCAGCCTTATCTCAGACTATTCCCCTTAACACAATTCCCTTCTAGTCATACTGTATTTACAGTCATACAGTATTTTCCCACCTCCCCCTTTGTTCACACTATTCACTATGCCTTGAATGATCATCCCTCACCTGTAGAATTTCTACCTATTTTTTAAAGACCAGTTTAAAATGGCACCTTCTTCATGACCCTTTGTGGTTCCCCTAACCAGCATAACCTTTCCCTCAAGTTAACAGGTAGCACTTTGTATATTTCTTATGTATTAATACAGATACTTGGTATTATAGTACTTTATGTGTAGGGCATATATCCCTATTGGACTGTATGGGCAGGGAGCCATCTTATCTAAACTTTGTATCTCCTCTAGTGCCTATGGTAGTATCTGATACGCACAATAGGACTAAAAATGCTTGTTGAATTGAATTAACTCTCTTGAGCACTTATTTGTGTTATAGGAGATGTAAATATACCGTCCTTCTGGGGTGGTTAGTCTAACTCTCATGGGCCTCAGTGCCCTGGAAACTATTCCTAAAGATTCAAGGAGTACTGTGGGCCTGCACTTGTTTTGGGCCAGGACTATCCCATACTAGTCTGGTGGTTCGGGTTTGGGATTGGAACAAAATGAGGCAGTTACTGATCAGTTAACATTTTACAAAAGGTTTACTTAACAATAGCATGGAAAAGATAAGGCATTAATTCAGTTGAATGAAGTTCTCATCACTCTGTATAGGGAAGTGAACCAGGTCAGGAGGGTGTGCTGATTCACATGGAACCAGTCTCTCAAGTCTGAGGAACTCTGATTCCTTTTGAGTTGTTTTTCTCTTTCTTTCTTTCTTCTTTTTCTCTTTCTTTCTTCCTTTCTTCCTTTATTCATTCCTTTATTTCTTCCTTCCTTCCTTTACTTCTTTCTTCCTTTCTTCCTTCCTTCCTTTTCTTTCTTTTTTTCTTTCTTTCTTTCTTCCTTCCTTCCTTCCCCTTTCTCTCTTTCTTCCTTTCTTCCTTCCTTCCTTCCTTTCTTTCTTTCTTTCTTTCTTTCCCTTAGGCAATTGGCAAACTATGTCAGTGGTTCAAGCCTTAATTTATTGGACCACATAAGTATTGATGCCAATTTAATTGTTGTTTTGGAGAAAAACCAGCCTCGCCTGTGTGACTTGGTGTAGCAGATCTAGCTAAGCCTAGATGTTGCTCCAAAAAATTTTAGTTCATGAGCCCCCACTGGTGTGTTTACCTTTAATAGACTGAACTTGTTTTTTTTTTTTTTTAAGGAGATAATAATGATTTTTACTTGTCATGTTTCCCTCTACTCCCCCATTTCAGAAAAGTGCCTCAAAAGTACATTTAGTCCAACCCATACCTGATAAGGAATTCCCTTGGCAAGTGATTTCCAGTTTCCAGTCTTATTATATAGTATTCCCCTTCTTGCACTATGGTCCAGCCAAAAAGGTCTTTTTGCTGTTCCTCATGTACAACACTTCATTTCTCATTTCTTTTCCTTTAAACTGAATTGCCTCGCCCTTCCCCAACCCCCCATTCTTGTAATGGTTTCATTTCTTACCTGTGTCTATTTCCTTTAAGACTTAGCTCAAACATCATCTTCTATATGAAGCCTTTCCTGATCTCTCCAGCTCCTAGTTTCCTCCATCCAAAAATTACTTGGTATTTATTTTGTATATGCATGTTTATGTCTATGTTGTTTCTCTTTATTGAACGTAAGCTTCTTGGGGGCAAGTATTGTTTTGTTTTTGTGTTTGTATCCCCAGTGCCTAGCATAGTATCTGGCTAATGGTACAGACCTGAGAAAGGCTGGTTGATTGAATGATTAAGTAGTTAGCCAGAGGACACAGTGTTCTCAAGGCAAAGTAACTGAAATGGCAGTGTAAGGAGAGTAGCAACAAAACATCTCTTACATAAACTTGGGGAGGAATCCATGAAAACACAGAATTAGTGGGAAGAGTGGACATACATCCACACACTGAGTACACTAGTGGAGAGGTACATGTGTAGGAAACACCCACGACCTGGGAAACTAATACCCTAGCACTACTCTCTTTGCTTTTCCCCTGGTGTCTTCACAGTGCTCCTTCTGGGTACCATGCATATGTGGGGCAGCTTTGATTCAAAGTGTGCATCTCCCTTTCCCTGTCCCTGTCCCTTCCCTTCCGCCCCCATAGCAAACAGAGCTCATACATAAGCCTTTAACTTGGACCCTGATCTTCTCCTTTTCACATCATAGCTTTTGGGCTAATGTTTATTCTAAGAGATTTATCTTTCTCCCTGCTGTTGTTCTCCAACCCCCTCTCCCTCCCCCATAACAGACTACTGAATTCTGTTTGGCCCAGTGGTCATCAGAGGTGATGTCACAAGCACATGACTTGCTTATTCTTCTGATTTCCCTCCATCTAACTTCTGCCCAGCGTCCCAACCCCATTGCTCCAAATAAGTATTGGAGACACTCAGATTTCTTCTTCTTCTCCAACTCTGGTGAATGTTGAACTGACAGCTGACTGGGAGGGTAGGGTTATCTTTTCCCTAAATCTGATTGGCATTTAGAGTGGAGGATAGCTGCTATTCCTCCTTAAGTGCTTTTTTTTTTTTTGAAGTCTAGCTGTTTCCAGATGCTCTTTGGAACTTTTTTTTCCTGCCTCTTTTGAGTTTCCCATTGCTAACTCAGTGGTGGCTTGAAGCAGGGGGAGGCTTAGCTAGCTCAGGTCCGTTGAGGCTTCCAGTCCTGATGAGGTGTCATCTCTTACTTGCAGATCTCAGTAGATTTTCAGATGGCTGAATCAAACCACCTCTCCCATGATTGGGACCTGCCCGCTGGTGAAGCCCTGCTTCAGGATGTCTTTGGCATTGTCATGGATGAGCTTGTACGAAAAGGAACTGATGCCTCTGAGAAGGTAGGTTCTCTTCTTCCTCTCTTTCATAAAGTATGTCGCTTGCAAATATATTTTGTGTGACTTCACATGTATGATTTTGTGCTTTCCTTCTCAAGGAGGGGGAAAGGAAGAGAGAGGAGAAATTTGGAACTCAAAAATTATAAAAAACAAATGTTAATTGTTTATACATGTAATTAAGAAAAAATAAAATATAGTGCTCCCTTTTCCACTCTATCAAATCATGCTTTTTCTTGCTTCCCAAGAACCTTAACTCTCCCTAATTCTGATAACTTTCTTGCTCTACAGCCATGCACCAGTTAAATTTTTACCATGTTCATCTACAGTATTGCTTTTGTAAATGTGCATGTGACTTTTTCTTTTATCTATGAATGCGTCCCATCCCCTAGGGCTTTGTAGTTCTTTGGAATTCCGCTGCGGTGCTTATTTCAGAGCTCTATACAAAGCTGCACCCAGTCTGTGTTCTTGACTAACTGTCTTCACACCCACCCCCAACTTTCCTTGCCTAGGTCTGTGAGTGGAAGGAGCCAGAGGAGCTGAAGAAGCTGCTTGATTTGGAGTTACGGAGCCATGGGGAGAAGCAGGAGCAGATCCTTGACCGGTGCCGGACCATCATGCAGTACAGCGTGAAGACCTGTGGGTCTGGGACTTGGGGCGTGGAAGGGCGGAATGAGAGCTAGGCTTGGGAACCCAGCTCAGTCCTGGCCTGTCTGCTCTCTTCTACTGCAGGTCATCCTCGGTTCTTCAATCAGCTCTTCTCAGGGCTGGACCATCATGCTCTGGCTGGTCGGATCATCACGGAGACCCTCAACACTAGTCAGTAAGTGTCCCTTTACCTGCACTTAGAAAAGGAGTGGGAATAGAACCTGTGTGGTTGGGGCGTGGCCTCTCCTCCCTCTTCCACACTTCCTTAGCATCCCTGATGGAAGCCTCTCTTTCCTCCTCCAGTTCCCCTTTCTCTCTCTCCTATCTGCTGCCACCCCCTTTCCTTCCTTTGCCTTCCTCTGTTCTCTCTTTGCTTTCTGTTCCTCTCAGATGGTTCTGGATTTGGGTGAGGAAGATCCGAGTTCCAGTTCTGCTTCATACTCTTGGTTACTGGATGTCCTGGGCACATCACCTGCGCTCTTCTCTGTGCTTTGGTTCCCTCATCTGTAGAATTAGGGGGTTGTACATCCAGCTTGAGCTCTAGGACCCTGCCCCCATTCCTGCCCCTCTGGATGTCATATCTCCTGTCTCTCCTTGTCGTGACTTCTTTTTGTCATGATCTCCTTCCTATTCTAAAGAGATGAGTGAGCAGCACCCCTGCCCTTTCTTCACTCACCACCCCTCCTCCCTCCAGGTACACTTATGAAATTGCTCCCGTGTTTGTCCTCATGGAGGAAGAGGTGCTGAAGAAACTCCGGGCCCTGGTGGGCTGGAGCAGCGGGGATGGGGTCTTCTGCCCGGGTATGGCCCTGGGAGGGGTTTGGGAATGTTTCTTTTTTCTCTCTGTTGACCTGACATGTACCCAGACACCAGATGAGCTAGCAGAAAGCTAGATACCTGTCCTTGTATCCCTCCCAGTGGGTCCACGGTCAGGTAAAGGGAGGATGCAGCGGTTCTTTTTAACCCTTGTCTTTCAAAACTACCCTAGGATCAGGGCTGTCTCCAGGATATCTGCCATCCCAGGGCTTTCTTCTGTGGGGGGAGAAAAGGCAAGGCACCCAGGGACTTGGTGTGTTCTCCGTCTCATCACCATCCATCCCTCATGCTCCCCGTGACAGGTGGCTCGATCTCCAACATGTATGCGCTGAACTTGGCACGTTACCGGCGATATCCTGACTGCAAACGAAGGGGACTTCGGGCCCTGCCCCCCTTGGCCATCTTCACAACACAGGAGGTGTGAGGCTCAGTTTTGAGGTTCCCATCCCTGCTTTCCTGTCAGCTCAGCCAGAGGTCCTCAGACCTTCTCTGTCCACCTTTAGTTCTTGAGAGCAAACGTGCTAGCCAAATCTCCGGCAGTGGAGCGAGATCTCTTGGCTGCTCTGCCTTCAGCGTAAGCCTGGCTGCTTCTGTTGTCTTCTCCCCTCCCCAGCCCTGCACCTCATTCTGTCTCTCTTTGTCTCTCTCCTTCCACAGAGTCACTACTCTCTTCAGAAAGGAGCTGCTTTCTTGGGCATGGGCACAGACAGCATCCGACTGGTCAAGGCTGACGAAAGGTGAAAGTTGCTTCTGTTTGTATGGCCCCAGACCCAGGATTGACATGTCTTTTCTTTACAGCCATCAGGCCTAGTCCACCTCACTCAAGCAGGACACTCCTCTCTTCCCTCCATGTGGCTGTTTTTGCCCTCTCTTCCCAAAGAGTACTGGGCTCCAAAGTCAGAGAGCTGGGTTCATATCCCCTCTGACACAACTGCCTGTGTGACCTTGGACAAGCTGTCTCGCCTCCGGGGGTGGGGGGCTTTGTTTCCTCATCTCTGAAATGAGGAAGGCCTCTGAAAACCTTCTAGCTCTATTTGACCCTGTTGCCCTACTGTCAGCCCTGTAGCAAAGGCCAGGATTAGAGCTCCTGAGTACCTCCATCCTTATATGCCCTGGTTAGGCCACATTTAGAGTCTGTGTTCAAATTTTAGAAATGAGGTTGCTTCAAGTCTCTTTAGTCTACCTACCCCCAAAGAAGAGAACAATAATAGTGGCTGCAAGGTGCAGGGAAACAGTTTGTGGCTTGTTGAAATGAAATCTTGCTGATAATTAAGCAGTCTGGAAGAGGAAGGGGCCCCTGGAGAGGGAGCACCCCCCCAGTGATTTGCTAGAGTGGTTGGGGGAGGAGGAGCTGTTCAGGTATGAGCTGGACCCTGTGGCCTCTGTTTCCTCCTGATACTGGGATTCAGAGCTTCTGTCTCCTTGGCCTCCCTTTCTAGGGGAAAGATGATCCCAGAGGACTTGGAGAAACAAATTAATCAAGCTGAGGCAGAGGTAAATACCGGGGGCTGGGATGGGGGAGGGGGAAGCAGCCTGTGCAGGGGCCTTCATTTCGTTGTCTCTTCGACTGTGTTGGCTTGCTCTGATGCTTTTCATCTGCCTGCCCACCTGTGTGCAGAGCTTAGCCTGGTTCTGGACTGTGATGGGTGAGGCCCACAGGGGGAGGAAAGAGGAGATTAGCCTCTTCTCTCCCCTCAGGGAGGAGAGACTGGAGGGTGCATAGAGTACATACTGGAGAGACACGAATTACGAAGCTTCTGGAGAGAGACTTGAGAGTCCAGCTTGTTCTGTGACTTTGAGCAACTCACCTGATCTTTCTGGGGCTTAATGCCCTCATTCATAGATTAAGAGGAATAAACTACATGGTCCCTCAGGTTCTTTCTGATCTGTGACTGTGATTGTTAGAGCTGTGGTGATACACAGAGCACATGATGGGAATGGAGAGGAGAGCTGGGCTGGGAGTCAGATAATCTGCATTGATGGGAGGGGAAATCTCTAGATCTTCCGAAGCTATCCTTCTGTCTCCACAGGGTGCTGTGCCACTCTTCGTCAATGCCACGGCGGGCACCACAGTGCTGGGGGCCTTTGACCCCCTGGAGGCCATTGCTGAAGTGTGCCAGCAACACGGACTATGGCTGCATGTGGATGTGAGTGCTGAGCCTTCTCCTGGGGCAGTGCCGGATGTGCTGGGGGGAGGGGTGGGCTTCAGAGGAGCCGCCTTGTCCCCCTTCTTTTACTCCCTCTTCCAACAGGCAGCCTGGGGTGGAAGCGTCCTGCTGTCTCAGACACACCGACACCTCCTGGATGGCATTAAGAGGTGGGTGTGTGTGTGTGTGTGTGTGTGTGTGTGTGTGTGTGTGTGTGTGCATAGGCACAGGGTAACTGTCCAGTGCTGGCATAATGCTTGATGGGGCCCCTGATGGGGTCTGGTGGAAGCTGGGGTGCTGATGGATGAGAGAGCCCACCTCCTCTTCTCTTGGGTGCCTTTTGCCCCCTTTACCATTTCCTAGTGTGTGTAGGTATGTATATATGTATGTGTGTATGCACATATGTGTGTGTACATGTTTGTCTTTGCCTCAGACTTTCTGTTTCTTCTCTTGGTCCTTTGGTGCTCTGCTGTAGAGGTAGAGGTGAGTCCACCATCGATTAAAGGCCTTGGGAGAAGTTGGAGGAAAATGAAATATACTTAGAATTCCTACATGTAGACTGTAGAAGAAGAAACTAAGGGATCAGAAAATCTGAATTATACTCTTCACATTCTAAGTCTAGAACAAAAAATGAGAACTAAGGAAATTGTGAAAGAAGGGAATCAGATGTTGGAGAAAGGAATGGTTGGGGGGGGGTCTTGAGGTAGGAGATAGATATAAGGGAGTGCTTCCTAACTGGTAGGGTAGGGGTAAGGGAAGGGAGCCCCTAGAAATCGTGAAGAGGAGGAGATAATTGGGCTGGCTTGGGCAAGGGGCAGTTTGGCTGGGCTGCTGTGGGAGAGACAGGATGACCTGATTTTACTTTCTCCACAGGGCTGACTCAGTGTCCTGGAATCCCCACAAGCTGCTGGCGACTGGACTTCAGTGCTCAGCTCTCCTCCTTCGGGACACCTCGGTGGGTCTCCCTGAACCCCCCTGTTGTACTTTCTACCCCCACATCGTCAGGGCATTCCCCGGCCTTTTCTATCTCCCTTGATTGGATCCCTCTGACTACCCCTCACTGTCAGTACCCCCCATTCTCCTGGTTTTATGTAAAAGAAAGAAGCTCACGTCTGGAATTATAACAGGGGAGCTCCTGGTTAGAGCTAGGGAAGAGCTCAAGATTGGGAGAAAACCTCGGATCATAGATTTAAAGCTGTAAAGGATCTTGGAGTCACCTGAAAGATGAAGAAACTGAAGCCAAGAGATTAAGTGACTTGTCCAGGGTCACACAAATAACAAGGGCCAGGATTTAGGCACAGGTCCTCTGACTCCAGGTCCAGTGCTTGCTCCACTGAACTGAATTGTCCCCTCTGCATTTGAGCCATTCGTGGATCGCCTCTACAGGTCACGGTTTAGCCTCTGAGGTGGTCAGATTAGATCGGTGGTCTTGAATGTTTGTTCCAGCTCGGAAGTTCTGTGATTCTGATGGTGAGGAGGGGATGGGTGGGATAACCTTGTTTCTCTCCCAAACCAGGCAGGAGGAACTGGAGGTGATGAGAGTTGGGGGATATTCTCAGGGTTTTCTCCCTTGTAGAACTTGCTGAAGGAATGTCACGGAGCCCAGGCCACCTACCTGTTTCAGCAAGACAAGTTCTACGACGTGTCTCTGGACACAGGAGACAAGGTAATACAGTGTGGCCGTCGTGTCGACTGTCTGAAGCTGTGGCTCATGTGGAAGGCTGTCGGTGGATCTGTGCTGGAGCAGCGTGTGGACTGGGCTTTCACCCTCACCCGGTACGGGAGCCCCCGAGACTTTGCCCCCTTAGAACGTCTTTCTGTCTCTCTGAGTCTCCCTGTTTTCTGAGTAGTCTCTGTGTCTCTGCCTCTGAACCTGACTGTGTGCTCCTCCCCTTAAGTTTCTTTTTTCTTCCTTACCTCTTTCTTCTGTTTCCCTCTTTCTTTTTCCATTCCACTTTATCTTTGTTTTTGGCTGTCTTTCTTTGACCTTTTGCTATCTTTGTTTCCCTTTTTACCTGTCTCTCTGTGGCCCCATCCTTCCCTCTTTGTCTATTAACATGTTATTTAATTTCAGGCTAAAGTCTGCTCCTATGATTTCTTTGGTGTCAGAAACTCCCTTTACCAGTCCAGGTTGGCACCTTCTCTGCAACTTATGGCCCTAGAGAGTTGCCTAGAAGAGTGAAAATGACTTGCCTTGGTTTCTAAGTATCTGTCAGATGGGAGACTTGAACACAGGTCTCTATTCACTGTGCCAAGCTGCCTCTAATCATATAAATTCAGTTACTTAAAGTGTTATCGATACTTTTTTTGTTTTTCATGCCACAGATATTTCCCAACAACTCATCCCCCGCCCAGAACTCTTCCCTTATAACAGAGAGAAACGTGCAAATCAACAGACATTACACATTGAGTATTCTGCACCCATTAACCAAGAGAAGGGAATTGTTTTTCATCATTAAGGCACTGGAATCAGAATTGACCATTACGTTGTAGTTCATCTTTGATATCTTTTGGTGTTGTTTTCATTTACATTGTCAGAGTCATCGTGCATATTGTTCTCCTGGCACTACTTTCTTCCCTCAGAATTCTCTGCGGGCCTCAGTCACCACTTCTTATGATGTAGTCATGGTCTGTTTATTACATTCACGTGCCACCGTTTATTTGGCCCCTTCTCCTTCCTTTTCCTCACTCCAGTGTGGCACCTGCTCTTTTGTAGGTACCTTGTAGAGAAGATCAAGCTGCGGAAGGGCTTTGAGCTGGTCATGGAGGTATAATCACTCTTCTTTGTGTACTAATTCCTCCCCCTGAGGGAGATGAAGATTGGCTCCCCCCATGGTTTACTCATTTCAGTAATGTGTACTTTGCGTTTGTTCCCTCCCAGCCGGAATATGTGAATGTATGTTTCTGGTACGTGCCCCCCAGCCTTCGTGGCCAGCAAGACAGTGCTGATTATTGCAAGAAGCTCGCTAAGGTAAGTAAGCACTGATGGTCGTCATCCTTCCTTCCTTCCCTCTTTCTTTTCTAGGCCTCGAGCTGGGGGGGAAATTTAGGTGGCTCGCTTCTGTCACCTGGTGGCTAGAAATATGTAACACATTGTCTCTGCCTCGTGTGGGGCTTTAAGAGAGAGCCCAGTGTCCCCTATTCATTGTTTCCTTGGACTTTTATTTGAGGAAAGCAGAAAAGAGAGTAAAACAAGGCTTGTTTTTGGAATACTAGAAGATAAAAGAGTGAATAGAAGTTTGTCAACTTGTCCTGAGCCAGGCCCAGCATGTGGATGTGTGCTATATGAGGACGCACGCCCCTTACTGGAAACTTAGAGGAGAAAGGAGACCCAGTCCTTTTAATGGGAAAGCTTCTAGTCTGACATGGGCTGGGTGGGGTGGGGCAGTAGGGAGATTATCCACCTGAAGAACAAGGAGACAAGAGGTGAGGATCAGTCTTGGACTGACCAGAGTGTGCCTGAAGGAAGGACACCTGGGCTTGGGTCCTGGCTCTGCTCTCTACTGGCCATGAGACTCTGGCCAAATCCCAGCTTCATAGTATTTAGAGCCCTTTAAGAAAGGGTCAGAGAGATCCTCTAATCTAACCCACTCAGTTTATAGATGAAGAAACTAAGGCCCAGAGGGGTTCACTGATTATAGATAATAAATCGCAGAGTTGGGATGCAGCTCTTCTGACCCTCAGTCTGGGGTCCTTTGACGACCAAATGCTCTACAAGTCATTGAACCTCTCCAAACCACAGTTTCTTCATCTATAAAAAGAGTATAAGAAAACTGGGCCTGTCCACCTCATAGAGGTGCTGTGAGGATCACAGTTTAAAATTAAAATTGAAAATTGAAAATGTAGTTTAAAATTCTTAAATGTGATAGTTGTGTGAAGTCAGAGATTCTGTTAGAGAGTCATCAAGAGCTGGGAAAGAGTTGACATCTTATGCAACCCCTTCATTTGACAAATGAGGAAAGAAGCACAAAAAAGGTATTTATTAGTATTTGTTTTGACTGAAGGTTGTAGAACTAAGTGGTTCATTTGAAAAGAAGTAATAGATTTAGAATTAGAAGGGACCTTAAAGATTCATCCAACCCCCTTATTTTACAGGTAGACAATCCGAAAGTCAGAGGGATGAAGTAAAAAAGGCTCAAGGTCAGAGAGTAAGGAGTGGTACCAGGACTTGAACCCAGCTCTTTTGACCCCAAGTTCTGTGCTGTTTCCATTACACCATGCTGCCTTCTTCTAGAGCAGGGGTTGTTAACTTTTTGGGGGCATAGACTCTTTTCTGGTGAGGTATGGAGAAGCATATGGGCCCCTTCTCAGAATGATAGTTTATTCATAATTGAAGGAAGGGCTAAATTTCAGTTAGGGGTTAGTGAAAATTAAGATGTAGATTTTTTCCTATCCAAGTTCATTGACCCCCTAAAATCTATTAGTGGGTCCCAGATTAAGAAACCCTGCACTAGAGGAAGGAAGAGAAATACTTTTAAGCATTTATTATGTTCCCACTGTGCCTAGAGATGGCCTGCACATGCATTTTGTCAACTGAGGACCAGCTTAGCTGAATTTGGGAAATTCGTCAGCAGGCTGGCAGGGGGTAGGGGTAGAGAGTGGAGTAGATGAACTTGTCACCAATAGCAGCTTTCAGAGACTAACTACTAACTTGTAAAATAGCTTTGAGCCATGTGGGCAGAGGGAGTGCCCACACCAGAGAATTCGCAGATTACTGAAACATTGAAATAGATGGGCCCAAAACTGTGCAAAATGTTACGGAGGATATGATAGTATGACACCTCCTGCCCTCTAGGAGTCTTTGGGAGGTTAGGCATAGGTACGACACTAGAGAACAATAAAGGACAATTTTATAGTCAAGATTGTGTGCTACAGAATTGAGAGAAAGGAGAAGGAAATGTGAGCTGGAAGAATTATTGAGGGCTCCTCTAAAGTGTGACTTACCTTGGAGTGAAAGAATGAGTCAGTAGGGGCAGCTAGGTGGCACGGTGGAGTCAGGAAGACCTGAGTTCAAATCCATCCTTGACACTTACTAGCTGTGTGACTCTGGGCAAGTCACTTAACCCTATTGCCTAGCCAAAAAGCAAAAAAAAAAAAATAAATAAATAAATAGAATGAATCAGATTTGGAGAGGCAGAAGTGAAAAGAGATGTTCTAGTCAGCGTTAGAGTTAGGAAAGAGCTTGGTAGATAGATGGCCAGGGAACAGGGTGCGTCATCTGACTGAAGCAAAGTGTTCCATGTGAGGAGAGAGAGCATGGGTTAGTGAAAAGTCATTGCATTTGGAGTCCCAGGAACTGGATTTGAATCCTACACTTGCTGTTCACTGTCTGTGTAATCTCTGTCAAGGTGTTTAACCTCACTGGGCCTTTATCTTCTGTAAAACAAGGAAGTTGGATTGTAAGGTCCCTTCTGGCTCTCTGGTCCATGTTCTTACTTTGCCGAGTAGTGGGAGATGCAGTTAGATACGTGGGGTGGGGCCAGATCATGGGAGGAACTTTAATTGCAAGGCCAAAGAGTTTGGAGTTGAGCCAGTAGGTAATAGGGGTCCACGCTAGGTCCTTGAGCAGAAGAGCTGTGGGATGAAAGTGTTGGGGTTTTTTTGTTTGTTTTTTGTTTGTTTGGGCCATTGGGGTCAAATGACTTGCCCAGAGTCACACAGCTACTAAGTGTCAAGTGTCTATGTGAGACTGGATTTGAACTCAGGTCCTCCTGACTCTAGGGCCGGTGCTCTATCCACTGCACCACCTAGCAGCCCCTGAAAGTGTTCTTTTAATGATAGTAGTTGGGTAGCCACCTGGAATGTGACTTCAAAGGTGGCTGAGGGAGGAGATAATGAGAGGAGAGCAGCCCAAGTGTTACTGCAGGAATCAGTGAGGGCCTGAATGTGGGTGGTGCAAGGAGCAAAGAGCAGGTATCTGGTGGGTTGAGTACTGTCTCCCTCCTCCCAGTTCCTGTAGCATGAAGTTCTGGTGACATCAGTGTGTCCTTTTGTTTCATATTTGTGTTCTAATCAGTCAGTCAGTCAGCAGGTGTTTACTAGGGCCCCCCTGTGCTGGATGGTGGGATACGAAGACAAAATGAAGCAGGTCCTGTCTTTAAGGAGGCTACATTCTGTCCTTCTCAGCAGCCTTCAGGCTCTTTGAGGGAGAAGGAAGCATTACGGCTTGAATGTATTGGCTGATTGGATATAGAGGAATATGTGAGAGGAAGATGTCAGAGACAACAAAGCGTGGTGGTGAAAGAGGGGTGGGAGGGGATTTAGTGGATGGTGAGGATGGGATTTTATAGAGGCTTGGGGCGGACCTTGTGGTATAAGAGAGTAGCAAGGTCTGGGTTCACATCCTGCCTGTGCTTCTTACTGCCTTATGTTATTATAGACTAGTCATGTAACCTTCTGGATCTCAGTCAGAGATGAATTAATGATATTAAGCACCAGGTCTGCCTGCTCAATGAAAAGGGTCACATAGGGCTGGGGAAAAAAAGCAAACCTCAGAGGAACCACAAAGCCCAGCTAAATGGCTCTGGATATGACAATTGGAGAAGCAATTGGAGCCTCTCTAGCGCTCTGGTTTGTGAAGGAAGATGGTGATGGGGGGCAGGACGGGGGAATTTTGAGCCGTGTCTATATCTCCTGCAGGTGGCACCGGTGCTGAAGGAGCGGATGGTCAAAAAGGGCTCCATGATGGTGGGCTACCAGCCCCACAGAACCTTGCCCAATTTCTTCCGCCTGATTTTGGGTAACCCAGCCCTGCGCACAGCCGACCTCGACTTCTTCTTGGATGAGCTGGAGCAGTTGGGGCAGGACTTATAACTTCCCTAGGCTGACCAATAAGCTGCAGTTCTTATAAATGTCAGGCATTCTTTACATTCTCTTTCTAACTTGTTGACCTGAAGTTAATTGGTGATGGTGAAAGGTGGTGGAGGAAAAGAAGGGAATCAATTGAGTAATCAACAAGCATTTATTAAGTGCCTAGTATGTGCCGGACACTGTACTAAGTGCTGGGAATATAAATACAAAAAGGGAAACAATCCCAACTCTGGAGGAGGGCACCTTCATGTGGAGAAGATAGTAACTATATACAGAATAGATATAGAATGAGAATAAATACAGAGTAGTTAAATACCAGTTAGTTCGGGAGGAAAGGCACTAGTATTTAGGGGGATCAGGAAAGGCTTCATGTAGAGGTAGACGAGTCTTGAAGGAAGAGGGAGATTCTAGGAGCTGGAGAGAAGGAGGAAGTACATTCCAGCCATGAAGGATGGTCAGGGTGAAGGCAGAGAGACAGGAGGTGAAGTGTTGTGTCTGTGTTGTTGTGTGAGCAAAGAGGAAGCCTTTTTGGCCAGATCTCAGAGTGTGGAAACAGGAGCACATACAATACATAGGTTGGGGCCAGATTCTGAGGGGCTTTGAAAAATAAACAGGTGAGTTTACATTTTATTGAGGAGTCCATCGGCCACTTGGAGTTCCTTTAGTAGGGGAGTGATGGTCAGATCTGTGCTTAAGGAAGGCTACTTTGGCATCTGTTTGGATGGTGGATTGCAATGGGGAGAGACAAAGTAGGGAGTCCCCTTAGGCTTTTGCACTAATCTAGGCAAGGGTGCATGTGTGAGTAGAAGGAAGAGGCAGGATACAAGGGATGATGCAGAACGTCAGGATTTGGCAGTTGAATGTATTTGCGAGTGACTAAAGAGCGAGGAGCCTTATTGACTTGGGTGACTCTCAGGTTACAAACTTGGGAGACTGGGAGCATTTGGACAGAAATAGGGAAGTTTGTGAGACAGGTGGATTTTGGGGAAAAGATGATGAGTTCTCTTTTGAACATGCTCAGATTGAGATGACTTCAGTGTATCCAGATTCAAATGTCCAATCGTGATGAGAAAGGGCAGAGATAAGCAGCATACATAAATATGTGGGTCAGCCGCATAGAGATAATTACACCAATGGGAGCTGAGGAGCTCAGCAAGAGAAAGAAGAAAAGAGAGCGGGTGTGCCCACATCGTGTGGGTGACGAGCCAGCAAAGGAGAGTGAGAAGCAACAAGAGAAACAGGAAAGAGAATTGTCACCAAAACCTAAAGAAGAGGGAACATCCAGAACAAGAGGATGGTCTGTGGTGTCACATGCTTCAGAGGGGTTGAGAAGGATGAAAGCTGAGAAAAGACCATCAGATTTGGTAAGTAAGAGATCATCAGTAACTTTGAAGAGAGCAGTTTGAGTTGGGGTTGAAGAATGACTGTGGAGACAATAAGTGGAAGATGGGAGTTTGGCCAAGGAAGGGTGGTGAGATAAAGGGTGATCACCCGAGTGTATGGTGGGGTCTAGGGAAGATTTTTTTAAGGATGAGGGAGACTTGGATATGTTTGAAGGGAAGGAACTAGTAGATATGGAAAGGTTAAAGATTAGAAGTGGGAATTGCAATCTATTGGAGATTATGGGAGGGGGGATGGGATCAAAGGCACATGTAGAAGGGTTGATCTTGGCAAGGAATAGGGCCACTTAATTGTTAGGGATTAAGAGAAAGGAGGAGAGAGTGGGGAATGATGTCAAGTGGTTTTTTGATGAAGAGAAGTGGAATTGAGAGAGCCCAGGTAAAATGACCTTAATTTTCTTAGGAAAGTTGAGAATTCTTAGCTGAAATGTTGAGGGGAAGGTGATATATGGAAGGCTTAAGGAAAGGGGAGAAGAATTGGAAGAGCTTCTGTGAGGAATAAGAGGGAGACTCAATTAGAGAGGAATAAAAGGATTGCCTCGCTGCAGAGAGGACCCAGTTGAGATGGATGACGTGAATTTATAATGTAGTCAGTTGTGTTGGACGACCTCCTCTAGCTTTTGTGCAGCAGCTGTGTGTTAAGTGGTAGGAAAGGGTGGTAGAGAATGTTAGGGGCTGGAAGGAGTAAGGTATGGATTAAAATTATTGGGGGCAGGAACTTGATTGTGTGACCAGGGTTTCCAGCCAAGCCTGGAGCGGTTTTTCATGAGATTCCTGATTGGTGGAAAGAATGTTGTCTGCTGTGTGAGGGGTAGAGTTGGTACAGAAAGTTTTGAAGAGAGGCATTCTTCACTTCCTTCTTTAAGAGGTAACAGTCCTGCTTCCACACTCTTTTTGGGACCAATTCCAGGCAGGAGAAATAGAAATGCTTTCTTGTAGACATGTTAGGGGAAGCTGTCTTCTCAACAAGTGCCTGATTAGAGACTTTGGGGAATTTCTCCTTGGGTTAGGTTGACGCTATTCACTTGGTTAATCGAGATCTCGTCTTACTCCTGCCTAAAGAGGAAGATCACCTGTCTAAAGAACTGATTTACTCATGTGTATTTTCTGATTTATTCTGATCTGTAGAACATTCCAATCTCTGTTTGTTGTCTGTTCATTTAAAAGCATTTACTTACTCTTCACTATTTGTGGTGGTCTTTTGTGTTAACTAGCATTTGATGGAAAAGGGGCCAAGCTGGTGGGTATAAACTTTGGGTCCCCTTTCCTATTAAGAGATCACTAGCAGGGAAGCTGTTGACTTTTTTATTTTAAAGCAGTCATCCCCATAGACCAGCAATATTTGGGGAGGTCTAATTCTTGGCAGGGCTTCTTAAACTTCTTCCACTCAAGACCCCTTCAGCGCTTCTTTTTTTTTTAATTTATTTATTTTTAAAATTTTTGGGGGGGGGGTAGGCAATTGGGGTTAAGTGACTTGTCCAAGGTCACACAGCTAGTAAGTGTCAGTGTTTGGTCTGAGGTCAGATTTGAACTCAGGTCCTCCTGAAGAGCCAGTGCTCTATCCACTGCGCCACCTAGCTGCCCCTCCTTCTGCGCTTCTTAAACTGTAGGTCATGACCCCCATTGGGGTACCCCTTCTTTTACAGGAAAGCAGAATGGCCAGCTTCATGGTCCCCTCTCCTGCTCCCCTGAAGACAAGAATAGAAGTCTCCCTTGGAGAGGGGTGGGCAAGATTCCTCAGATCCCCTTGAGCATCCTGTCTCTGTGTTTAGATATCACATGTGGATGTCTTACATAGGCCATGAATATCTTACCGATGCATATGTGGATCCTAACAAATGGGTGTTCCCATTAAATGAGTGACAAGTGTAATTCTGAGTCTTCTTCCGAGGGAAGTCTGGGAAGCTCAAGATGGGGGGAGGTAGGTCCCAAATCTGCTTCTTAAGCCCTGAACTGGAAGAGAGGGATTGGATGGTAGAGGCAGGATTTTGATAAGCGAAGAAGCCAACCCCCCCTGCCCCCAACCAAAGACACATAGGTAGACACACAGATTAGAGCTCCTAAGGCAGTCCCGAGGCCTGGATTGAGTAAGGAAAGTTCTTTGTAAACTTATAACAATTCTCAATTAAAATTTTATTAATTATGTTTTATTGTTGCCTTTTAGTTTTTGATACCACAGGTGTTTCCCTTGAAACATTCCCACCTCCACCCCCCACCCCCCTCCTGTCATAGAATCCTCCTTTGTAGCAAAGAAAGATATTTAAGCAAATCCCAACCAATACATTGACCATGTCTGACATTATATGCTGCATCCCACATCCATGGAATCCAGCTTTGTTGAGGGGAAGAAGGTGCGTTTTCTTATCACTTTTCTAGGATTGATTCAATAAACATTTTAAACGGAAGAATCAACTATTTACAACCCCAAATTCTCACCATACAGCATTACATCCGTGTGTGTCCACCTGGTCCTAGATCCTAAGACCTCTATGTATATGGGACTCGGTCTTTCTGCCTGCTATTCCCTTTAGTTCTTCAAGAAGTCCCACATCACCCACACGAGTCAAACGGGAGGCGTTTATGTACTTAGCACCACGCCAGCCCCTATAGAATACAGAAGAAATATGAGACACCATAGAGTTGGAGAAGACATAGAAGAAGGGACGGCATAGGAAGGTACCGTGTCACATCAGGATTGTGCGCTCACGATGACGTGTGAAGTACTAAATGGTGTGATTCACACGGTTACAGAAAATGACGAGGTGCCAGTTGTGTGGTACAGGCAAGTACCAAAAAAGACGTTGTAGAATGAAAAGATAAAGATCAGTGTTGTCTGAAGCCACCAGGGAAGGCAGACACTTAACTTGGTCCTTGAAGGACGTGTTAAGGTGTGGACATGTCGGGGATTCGTAAGATAACAGGATTGTGGGCTCAGGTCTGGAAAGGACCTTAGAAGCCATCAAGCCCAACTCTCATTTTACAGATGAGGCCAGGGAAGTACAGAAAGGATAAGTGACTTGCCTGGGGTCACTTGTGTCTGAGTCAGATTCGAACACGGGTCTTTATGACTCCATGCGCAGTGCCACGTCCAGCTCTACCAGGCTGCCCCTTCATGCACCAGTGCCTGATCAGAGGAGCTCCCCATCAACTTGATACTAATAGCCCCACAAAGTTTTCAAGGCATATATTATCTTATTGTGTGTATTATCTCATTTTATGATCTACAGGGTGGTTAAGCCTTTGGGGTTTTAATTATATCTTTATATGGAAGGTATGGGCGTGCCCATTGGCACATTACCCTTATGCTAATTGGTTTGCTGCTGCTATTGTGGGGCAGACTTTAATGGAAAGACTCTCTCATTATACTGGCTTATAAAACAACAGATCTTTTGGGGGCTTTTTCCCTCCTTTTGCCTTTTTTTCCAGAAATATATTAATAACAGATCAGAGTTAATATCAGAAGATGGTTCTTGGGAGAGTTTCCTTCCACCTACTCCCGTAATCTGCTAATGGCTGCCTTGGAACAGAAGTATACGGAAAAGAATAGTTTCTGGATCCCAAGTTCTACCTCGCTGCCCAAGACATGGGAGCCAGTAAGGGGAACCACTTTGCTAAGTGGTAAGAGTTCTTGAGAGTTGCCTCTAGCAACTTTAAATTCAAGAACCTGAACCCCCAATCTCCTGGATAGAAGAGAGGGGATTTCCTGGGCTGTAAAATCCTGGAATACAGCCTTCAAGTGAAAAGAAGGAGAATTTCCTGGACAGCGTGCCAAGAGGCTCAAGCCTCTTGCTAGGAGAAGTGCTGATTAAGAGACTAAAGTCACGATATAAGGCAGCAGGGGAACTGGAATTTGTCTTCTGGTAATATCCTGAGTTAATCAGATAGTGTGTATTCTATAGAGAAGAAAATGTATTGTACACGATTGTACATGTATAACCTATATCAGATTGCTTGCTGTCTTGGGGAGGGGGGAAAGGAGGGAGGGAGAAAAATTTGGAATTAAAAATCTTATAAAAAATGAATGTTGAGGGGCAGCTCGGTGGCGCAGTGGATAGAGCACCGGCCCTGAAGTCAGGAGGACCTGAGTTCAAATCCGGCCTCAGACCAAACACTTGACACTTGCTGGCTGTGTGACCCTGGGCAAGTCACTTAACCCCAATTGCCTTAAAAAAAAAATGAATGTTGAAAACTGTCTTTCCATGTAATTGGAAAAAAGAAAGTACTATTTACCAAAAAAAAAAAAAAGATGTGGAAGCCTTGGGGGGAGAAAAGGAAAATGTTTTCTTCTGAAATCCCCAAATCATTTTCCTTCTAGGGGAGTCTATTCTCTCAGAGTAGTTTTAGAAGGCAGATGCCGATAGAAATCCCTCCTGAAATCTCCCTTGCCTGCCCTTCCTCCCACCCTCTCAAATTTTACTGAAAAAATTTGATGCCATTCCCCAAGAGCTCCTCCTTCTCCATTCCTCATCTCATGTCACCCAGATGCTTTCTGCTACGACCTCCTTCATCCCCACCTCTCATGATGAGGTGGCACTTCTCTTTGCCAAGACAAACCCATCTACATGCACAAATTATCCTATTCCATCTGTCTCCTCTAGCAGGTTACATCTCTGTCACACCACTCCCTCATTCTCTCACTTACCTTCAATCTCTTCCTATCTTCTAGCTGCTTCCCTACTGTATACAAACATGCCCTTGTCTCCCCGCCACACACTTAAAAAAAAACACCCTCACTGGATCCATCCATCTTCCCTAACTAACCCCTCACTGGATC